AGTTAGGACAAACATACAAAATCTAAAGTAGCTGCTCGAAATGTAAACCCAATTGTTCAATACACAATTCACATCTACGAATGATCGAACGTGGTATAGCATTATTCAAATAAGGCCTTATTTCATCACATCCATTCCTGATTCTCTCTATTAGCATATCTCTTGTGGTTACGGGAGTCTGGTACACTTTTTCTTTTAGAAATCCCCACACAAAGAAATCTAATGGATTTAGGTCAGTGGATCGTGGAGGCCAGGCGACTGGTCCACCACGGCCAATCCATCTTTCTGGATAATTTTCGTCCAGCCAGTTTCTAAATATTCTCGAATAATGAGCTGGACAACCATCATGCTGGAACCAGGCCAATCTTGTTAAATCTAACATAACATCATCCCACATATTTGCATGTTCAGCCTTTAAAAATTTCAAGAAGGACGCAGCATTTAACCTTGCAGGCAAAAGGTAGTGTCCAAATAGTCGATTACGGTAGATACCAATCCACACGTTCGCACTAAATTCATGCTGAAAATTTCTTTCCCGAACTGCATGCGGATTTTCATGCGACCAAATATGTTGATTATGAAAATTTACCACTCCACGTCTAGTGAAGCATGACTCATCGGTCCATAAAACGTTACTTAAAAACTTCCTATTATTATCAGTTCTATCAAGAATCCACTGACAAAATGTGATTCTTCGTTCTCCGTCCCCTGGCTGTAGTCCTTGCACAGGTTTCAAATGGTAAGGACGTCTATGGTCATTTCTAAGAACACGGTGAACCTGGCTTGCTGAAATTCCCAAGGCACCAGAAACTCTCCTAACACTTGTGGTCGGATCTCTATCAAACTCACGCAGAATCATATGGGTAAATCTGCGCTGACGAACATTTATGTTTTGATCCCTTTGGAGATTTCCAAAACCATTTTCAATTATTTGGCGATGCACTCTTACAAATACTGAGCGAGTTGGATGTCGTCTGTTTGTAAATCTTCGCGCGTATTCTCTGGCTGCTTCTGCTGCGTTTCCATTTACAAAGCCATACACAAAATGAATATCCGCTAACTCTTATAAATCGAATAAAAATTTCATTTTTATAAAACTTACAAAAAACAGGTAAAAGAAACTAAATTGCAAAAAAACGTTTCAGGTTTCAACAGACAACAAAACTAACTGTCAACTAATTGACGTTTAACCTTGTTCTGCTTTCAATTTCAAAAATATTTGCAGGCACAGCCTACTTCTAAAAATTATCGAGATACTGACTTTTTAACGTAATTTTATCATGAATAATTAAAAATGCATCGAACCTTAAGAATCTAAATATCTCAAAAACGGCTAACTATAACGAAAACTCACAGGAGAGCTTTTTTATGTTGAAAAGTGCGAAGAATCAGTTTTTTATTCAAAAAGCAAAAAATTGCTCTAAGAAAAAATTTTCGGTCATTTTAATACACTACAGGTACAGTAGAGAGCGCCCTCTAGCGGCTACAGTAAAACTATGGTTCGTTTTCCCGTACCAAAAAACCCTTGTATACCAATTTTCGCTGTTATACATCAAATATTGTTCGAAATAATTTAAAAAACTATTTTAAAAAGTAAATTTAAACACCCTGTATTTCGGAAGCCACGCATTTTTCGACCCATGTTTATATAGACTTTATGCATTAATTTTAAAAGTTCTATCGAATCTTAAAGTTATGCAACAATAAACTGAAACACCCTGTATACTTTGAGAAGCCTTCATGGACAACTGAAACATCCGATTGTTTCCCTAAATTCGATTTTGAAACTTTACCTATCAGTTCCAGGATAAGTTGCATTCATGTTAAAACTTGTAGGGATAGGACAACTGTCACAGATGAGACTGATGGATAGATAGATGACTCAAATGATTCAAGTACGTGTATTATAGGTATGGTTCATATCTGTAATAAATTCGTTGGGAATACTGATGTGTTTTATTTGAACAAATATTCAATACTGTAACAACAGTGCCTGGCAACATACAACCTTATGACCACTGAATGTGACAATGTAATATTTGTGAAATATTCGAATGTATGTTACAAAAGCAGACATTTTCATATATAGATATGTATATACCTTTCACAAATATTGCAGCAATATTTTGTAAGGATTTTGACACATTACGATTATTACAATGTAAGATTTCTGAAAAACATTGTGCTGTATAGGTCTATACTTCCCACGCAAATCTGGATAAATGAACTCTGTACATATGCATCATGCATCTGAACCAATTTTTGAACGTTTTGATATCCGTATGGTTGCCTTCTGTAAAAATCCTTGTAACCTGGCGTAAGACCGTAGAATATAATGAATGTTATCAGTTGAAAATATGGGCGAGTATGTATGATGTATGTCTATGAACCAACTAACTTACATTCTGGCAGGTCGGTAATGTAAAACCTCATACAGGACATGCAGTCACAATGAATATGGTTGCAAAAAGTACTGTAAGGTTATTTTTTTGTTAATAATCGAGGAGAACTTTCGCCCGCCCTGGTAATATGTGCTTCAGAAAAACGTACTAAAAATAAATAAGATTCTTCATTCCACAAAATATCTTCGTATTCTCAAAAGAGTGGTGAACGCATATTCGTTATTTCACACCTTGAATAACTACAGCCCTAATGTTGTCAGTCTATCTCATAATGCCCTGGTAGTCGCAAATGTTACGAGTACATCGCCGAGGCATCATTGACCTGTTCTCAATTGTTTAGGTAAAAATTTGTCGCGTGGGTCACGACATTATAAGTCTTTGGGCAAATATACGAGTGAAATATATCTAACAGGTGCTTAGAATTACGGGGATCTGAAGTTTATAAATATACTGCAGACAAAAATTCCGAAACACTCTCCCCCATCGCCCAATTTTTTGTCACTAAATTTTTTTCAAAAAGAAGGATCCTCCGAAACGTCAAAAAAGGGAGTTTGAGCGATTTGTATTTTTTTTGTTTTAGGCCTTTTTTCTAACACCATTGGACTAATTTTCAAAAAAAAAACAAAGCCTTTTCATCCTTGACATAATACTAACCTGTACAAATTGCATCCAAATTCAAGCAGTATTTTGCAAGTTATGGGCAGGCCAAAGATTAGCAAACAGATAAATAGACCGACGGAAATGAGTGACATGTTTTTCCATGATATACATGTCATATGAGATCCAAAAAACAATATCTGATTTTATAAATTTTTCGCTATTACAATACTTCCTTGCCAGTAGGCGTCCAATTTTGACATAGATAACACAGTAAAATAACCACAGCTGATGTATATTATCAACATAAAAAATAATAAACAAAACAAAGACGCAATATGATGTTGGCATTTTGATGCGATATATTAATAAACAATCGCAAATATTTCCTTTATGTTTGCCTTATCTAAGATATTCAATTCAGGATGTGCTATCTCCGGCTGAATCTCGTGAACCTTCAAAGATTTATTTCAAATAATTATCAATTTAAATAAGATCTCTTCAAACTGTAGAGTTTGTAAAACGTTTTGTTGGAATATTTTTGTATAGGGGAACATTAGTCTAGTAAGTACTTCTTTAACTCGGATAGGCTTCATTGGGTTTTCATGACGATCTGGCAATGCAATTACCTCTTCAGCTATTGGACCTTCATTTGTTTTTTAATATGACAAGCATCTAAGAACTTACTCGGAGTCGTACGTTTTACTTCCCACGCCTACTGGCGGGGAAGTATGGTAATCGTGAAAAATTTCGAAAATGAGATATATTTTTCGGATGTTATATGAGATGTGCATCACGAAAAACCATGTCACTCATTTCCGTCGGTCTGTCTGTGGGTCCGGCCGCTACTCTCATAACCGCCTATAACTTGAGAAGTACCGCTCGAATTTCGATGAAATTTTTAATGCGGCGACTGATAAGGCGCATGTTGTGTAACAAAAAAATTCGCTAGTGAATCGCTAAAACGAGCGCCGAATAGCCGCTCACGTCCAGCAAATCTTGCTCTACTTGACTGTCGGTTTTTTTACAAATCCCATTGATGGTTACATTACCAGTCAGTACAGGTTGCGACTAGTTCATCATGGAGTTCTTTCAGGGAAAAACTTTATTTTTAATTGTTTTATATCATACTTAAAGTATTCTATCGGACTAGCAACATGCCGAATATTATAACAAAATCGAGAAACATGTTGCCTGGCAACAGCTACCTGCAGAAACAGAAACTTATTAAATGTGCCAACTTCTAAAATGACCTGCGAGTCTAGCGCAGTACATTTTTTCAATGGATATTCATTTGTTTGACATTGGTATATTTATATGCCTCCAATCCCAGTAATTCTACGCACATATTAGGCATATTTCACTTACCATAGTTTTCCCATACATTTTACACCCTTAAAACTTAGAAATATCTCCCACAGTCGGGTGTCGATAGGTGCGACGTGGTTCCCGGGATGGACAAGCGTCATCGTCGGGGGCCGTACGTTACAGTCAGCAATAACTTCAACACTACAGTGGGCTGAGTGAAGACCAATATCGTTACACACGCGGGATTAGTCATCGGCATTTAATTTTTTTTATACATGTTTGCGGCTACCTTTTTTATTTATGTGACAGCATAGTGCGAGAAAGTACAGAGTCAGCTATATTGTAAGCAGTTTAAATTTTGTATTATTGCAACATAATAATTGTAAATTAGCCATGAAGGAAACCAAATGATAGTTTATAGTTTAAACTAAAATGCTTCATTTTTAATATTTTGCATAATTCAGTAAGTTTAACATTTATACATTGATTAACATATTCTACTTATACTGTAGTCTACGTCCTAAAAGGGACGACTTTTTCAGGTCAAGATAAGATTTTACCTCGATTTACCATTTTCGGCATTTTCAAACAAAATCCGTATTCTTCTACAACGTGGCAACGTCGCATATTTGCTCAGCTGTTAAAGAAAATAGGTAAAACAAAAACTCGGGCAATGTTTTTACGTCACAAAGAATATCAATAGCAGCCAAATGCGTACTTACATTTTTTGGTCGTAGTTTTGCAGACCTCAACAACATCTTTGTAGCAGTAATCTTCTGCGGCGAAGGCCACAGTTGCAAAAAACAACACGCTGATACAGACGATAGCCCTCATGATCCCTACATAAAAACAGAACTTGAATGATATAAAATGTATTCGGATGAATGAACTACCAACCTGGTATCTCGCCAGCGAAATCACGAATAAACGATTTGATAATGCTTAAAAGTCGTCACTCGAGATGTGGGAATTTACAATTTCACATTGGATCGCGGTGCGCAAATGTGCCGTGCGCACTTTGAAGTACAAACGAAAACAAAAGAATCTCTTTATCAGGAATAGAGGGGGCAATGCGCGCTCACAACGTTGCCAGATCATGCGGTAAAACCTTGAAATATGCAGAAACCAAATTGGGAATATATATCCTTTGTAACTCTTCGTTTCATGTCGAGGAACAAACGTTGTTTTACTTTAAAATAAGAATAACAGAATTACAAAACACAGAAGTCTACAATATGAGTAAACCTCGTCTCATTATTTATTTTGCTGACTTCAAATTTATATGATTGAATACCAGTGTAACCATTTCACGATGATAGGTTCAGGTTTGAACTTTGAATTAGACACTTGGCTAACCTATACATAACGAGTTTTAACCGAGGTTTTAAGCATTGGCTAGTTTAAGGGTTTACAGACTATATAAATCGAAAACGATCAAGCTTTATTAAGGCACATCCAACAAACTTGATGGGACAATCGAGGTGGAAAACTTATTTCACTATTGTAAGGCTTACCCTCATCTTCATTATCTTTTGCTTCATCAATTTCTATTGTTCGTGACTCAAGAATGAGAACGCCCGACCAGATTCAACGAAAATTCGCGTAGCATCGGCAACGTCGTGTTCCATATTTCGATGGATTTCCAGTGAGCCGAGGCGTGAGGGGAAAATGATTCCGGTGGTTCAGTAGTGCTGTGTGCAAATTATTGTGAACGATTAAAATATAATTATTAATTTTGTTACAGTCACCTTCTGCACCAGTGTGTGTAAAGGCAGACTCCATTTTCGTATGAGATTCAATTGAGCCATAATTGTCTCAAGTTATTGAACAGTTTGTATTCACAGAAAATTCCAAAGATGAAGTTTATCTGCGTTGCCATACTTTTCTTGTCTGCCGTTTGCCTGACATCGGCGGAATTACAATGTAAGTAAAAAAACGTGTTTATCGCATCAGTTTGCTGGTATATTGAAATAGCCTACTATTTCCTTACTGCGAATATTCTAAAGAGTTCATAGTTCATGTATTTTTGTTGCTGGCATTCTATTGTTTTTGTTTTATTTACGTTCCGTTTATTTTTGATTATATACAATATATTCAGCCTGCAAATGTAATATAAACAACAGATAACAGCATTTGGAATGATGAAAAGGAAATACAAATACATATTTATACAGGGTGCTCCTTAATGATATGCGAATATTTAAGGGTGGGAATCTACATTAAAAAGGTTAGTTTGCTTTATAAACCGTGGTCCAAAAATGTTTCCTTACAAAAACTCGGGGTGTTGAAGTTTTACTAAAAAACTGGAAATTAGTTGATATTTTCAGAACCGCTTCAGATATTTCAGTGATATTTAGTACGTAGTGAAAGTTAGTAAAGATGCATATTTTTCAATGCAAAAATAATTTTTAGCTTTAACCCTTAAACGGTCGATGTCTCTCCTGAGATATGGTTACATGGTACTGGCATGTATTTAAAAACCCATTAAAATGTAGCGAATTGGGCGGTGTATAGTGTGAGATACATTCACTAGCAACGTAGTGTCGCCTATGCCGGTTCATTCTATTTGCAGTTGTCCGCATGGTAGGTGGTACTTTGTGTCATTGTTATGGATAATCAACAAGTTTTGACCCCGGTAAGCTCAATATAGTACAAATTAGTTATTACAGCCTCTGGTGTGTTCGTAATTATATAATTATGAAAGCTGATGCTTCCTTTGAGTCTTCATTGCTTTAGTTTTTCTTTGAATACATTTTTGAGGTTAGTTTTTATCTTACAAATGTGTGTATCCCTAGATGCACATTGCCCATTAAAAATAACGTAAGGCATTTGATACGCAATTTATGTTAGAATACATGGTAACTTCAAGAACTATTTCAGGGTATCGCTCCCCGCATATTTTACGGAAAAGCGGCAAATATTCCACATATTGTTGCTGTGCTACCACCGGACGATCCATGTGTATCAGACGTTGGCAAATCATCAGATGAGGAGGAGCTGTTTGGCGGAGACTATAGCGATTTGGACCCCGATTATCAGCAGCCGCCCACATCTAAGAAGCGCAAATGCTTACCAGTAGTTGATACTTCAAGCGACTGGGAATCAGAAGATGATTTACCTTTAGCGAATTTTGTGCAAACATCGAGAGATAATGCTATACCAGGTGGTGATAAACGTTACACTTGGAGCAAAACAGATTTCCAACACATCAGATATCCAAAAGATGTCTTTTTTGCTGGAGTAGACGGAGAATATTCCCCTCTGGCTTATTTCGAAAAAATTTTTGACGATGATTTGTTTGAGCATATTGCACACCAAACGAATATTTACTCCACACTGACAACTGGGCGTTCTATTGATACTACAGCTAATGAAATAAGATCGTTTGTAGGAATTGAGTTTGTAATGGGGGTAGTCCAAATGCCAGCAATCGAAGACTACTGGGCCATATAAACGAGATATAGTATAATTGCCGAAGTTATGCCTGTAAAGCGCTTCAAGAAATTGCGAAGACGCATACACTTTCAGCATAACAATACTGATCCGCAAGGAGATAGATTATTCAAAATTCGCCCCCTTATAGAAAAACTGCGACAAAAATGTATAGCTATCGAAGAGGAAGGTTTGTTTTCTATAGACGAAATGATGATTGCTTACAAAGGCAAGAAAGCTGGAAGTCTGCGCCAATATATGCCTAAAAAGCCAAAGAAGTGGGGGTTCAAGATGTTCGTTCGAGCAGGCGTGTCAGGGATTGTGCAAGACTTTCTCATCTATACCGGCTCTAGTACTTTTGACGAAATTCTATTTTCAAAGGAGGAACAACAAATGGGACTTGGTGCAAAAGTGGTACTTGTCCTGTGCAGAATTATTCAGAAACCAGAAGAGTCTTTCGTCTATTTTGATAACTCATTGGAACTAATTGAATACTTGAAGAAAAATAAAAAATTGGCAAGTTTTTGAACCATTAGAAGCAACAGACCTAGAGGATGTCCCTTGCTAAGTGACAAAGAACTTCTACGGAAGGGGAGAGGTAGCTTTGATTACAGAGTAGACAATTCCGTGGGACTAGCGGTGATAAAATGGGCAGACACTAAATGTGTGACTCTGGCGAGTTCGTACATTTCGCACAGTCCAGTGTTTGAAGTTAGCCGATTTAGTAAAGAACAAAAGAAAAAGGTAAACGTTCAGTGCCCTCAAATAGTCAAACAGTACAACATTCATATGGGAGGCATAGACTTATCTGATATGCTGGTTTCACTGTACAAGACTCCCTTCAAATCAAAGCGATGGTATTTCGCTATGTTTAGTCAGATGATTGATATAGCTGTCAATAATGCCTGGCTATTGTATCGGAGAGATCTAGCCCCACAAGGCAAAAAATATAATAAGCTCAAAGACTTCAGAATAAACATCGCAAAGTCTTTGATTCAATCTCGGAACGTACCCAGAAAAAGAACTTCTGCTGCAGCAAACTTGCTCCCTCAAAACAAAATAAAAGTTCCCGTCACTCCACGGCCTACTGAGGATGTCCGGTTTGACAGCGTTGGACACTTTCCAGTTTTCACTGAAAAAGGCCGCTGTAGGCTTTGCAGAAATGGACAAACAACAGTTTTATGTCAAAAATGTAATTTGCGCTTATGCATCGTATCAGGAGCTAATCAGAGAAACTGCTTCACAAGTTACCATTCCAAGTAATAATGTTCCTCCTAGAGGCAATGTGCATTCGAAGATACAACTAGTATTTTTTTTGATTTTAATTTTTTTATCTGAAAAATGTTATTTTCTGTTGTATTTGATTAATAAAAGTTCAAAAAATTAGTCAGGACTTTTAATATAGACCTACTTCTATCGCTGCCCGTTTAAGGGTTAACAGTGGCGCGCGTACGGGTGTTGACTTTGATATTTTTTAAGAAAAAAATGGTACGTCAATGGATTTTTGCCAAATAAAATTATTTTTGAATACCCCATTCAATTTAAAACAAATGATCTCTCAAATTGTTTTCCGTCGATGCGCCATTGTTGATCAAAAAAATAAAAATCGTTTATTGTCTGAAAAAATTAATGTAATAATTGAAGCATGCAATTTAGCAATAAATATCTAGTTGCTCTGGAATATGTCACTGGCTTTTGACATCTGACAAGTCTCTATTATTCAAATCTGTACGCTGTGAATTCTTTTTCATTATTAAGTTTTTACAATCTTGTTAAATGGTAAATTATTCAAATGCAGAAATGGTGGATTTATCACCAAAGATATCGCGATCATGCTTTGCCAGATAGTCGAACCTTTTATAATATTCATTGGTGTCTTATTGAAACTGGTTCTGTCTGAAAAGTAACATCTGAACGTAGACCTCTAAGTGTGAGAACACATGAATTTGAGGAAGCAGTGCTGCACAAAGTCGAAGAACATCCTGAAGGAGAATGGAGAATTTTAGTGGATTTTTTGTTATATCCTTATCATATTTTAAGAGTTCACTCATTACTTCCCATTTATTTTTCAAGGCGTTTGACCTTTTGTCAGTGGTGTCTTCAAAAAATTATACAAAATTCGCAATTTGAATCAATAATTCTATTCACGGACGAAGCTAATTTTTCTCGAAATGCTATTCAGAATTTCCACAATAATCATTTGTGGCCAGAAGAAAATCTATATGCTGTAACCGAAACCCATTTCAAACACCAATTTTCAGTTTACGTATGGGCAGGAATTATTGTCAACCACTTTATTGGCCCATTCGACTTGACGGACAGACTTACCTCAATTTTCTTCAACAACAGTTGCCTTTGCTGCACCCCGTTTTTGTAAGGAAACATTTTTGGACCATAGTTTATAAAGCAGACTAACATTAATTTTTCATGTAGATTCACACCCTTAAATATTCGCATATCATTAAGGAACACCCTGTATACAAAGTCAATAAACGTTTATAGTGGCAACAAATCCCTAACATTTACATTATTGTAAATGTTTACCCATTGACTATCTCTTGAGTCTTTGTTTATTACCAAAACATTTTACAATATATCAAAACATTGTTGATTATTAATATACAAAGAGATATTCTAAAACTCCAACCTAATTTCCTTACATATAACTACTACATGGGGATTGTCTATTGCTTGTCCCTTTTTTTATTGCTTCAGTTTTTCATAAACTTTTTATCGACATTTGAGGTATGAATACTTTTCTAAATGTTTGAAGATATTGCATGTTAATGTAAACGTTCTGTATGTTGAATGATGATACTTGGAATAAGAAATTACAGATGCAAATATCAAGAGACCACAGGTTGTGACACGTGATGTTGTGTATTTTCAAATATTTATTATCTCGCTATTAAAATATTTCACTTGAATAATTAATAGTATTGTAACAAACTATTACGTGTTAAGTTTTTGTGTAAATATCTGGTTTCAACATTTTTTCTGCTGAAGAATATACGATAATATATAAGATATGGACGATTAATATGATATGGACGTCACTTCGAGACTCAGCGGCGTTGCCGAATTTCTTGGTGTTAGAGATTTTCCCTTAAATCTCGCGTGCCCAATCTGCGTAAAAAAAGTTACATAAATTTCTACGTGATCCATTTATTTGGCTTTACATTATGAAAATTCAAGAAGTTTTGGAAGAATACCATGAGCTCATTTTAAAAATTGATCAAATTTTACAGTTTTTTTTTTGAAAAAAGTAGTTTTTTATAAATATAAAGGAAGGTAGATTATTATTCTAATTGTAACTATCTCTTAAAGTATTCACAATTCAATATTTTTGATCGAATACATATTCTTGATAAAATACTCATTGTAATAGGAGATAACTGAGCTATCTCATCAGATATTTGTAATCAATTTTGGGATCATTCGACTACTTGAGAGAATAAGTGGAATCATGTCATAGGAACAAATGATATGTGCACAAATGTAGAAAATACAAATTCAAGTGTCATTTCTGTGCCAGGTCCTTAGCCTCATTCTATTCGATATGCTCGACGCGTCTTCGAAAATTGGAATTGTGGAATAGATATCTTATTGACCACAGTAACAGCAGACGTTTGAAAGAAGTAATCTTCAAAATCTGAATGACTAGAATGTTTCTCCACTTCGATAATGGATTTAACCTGATAAAGTTGATGTTTTCTCCTTTTTAAAAATCCCCTTAAATAAATAGAGAGATAGAACTATAGGTATATCAATATTATGCTGTTCCTTTAGGCTCCCAGAAAGAGCTGAAGATCCCAAAAAACTGGATTGACATGGTGAACCCATGTGTGGAGAGCATGCGTAATCAAATTGAAGAAGAACTAAAGGCATCTATGCGCTATATGGCGATGGGCGCGTACTTTTCGCAGGACACTGTCAACAGGCCTGGATTTGCTGATATCTTCTTTAAATCTGCTAGCGAAGAGCGAGAACACGCTATCAAGCTCATCCATTATTTGCTCATGAGAGGAGAACTGACTCATGATGTCAGCAAGCTCATCAAGAGAAACGTGAGTTTTTTTTAAAGGGGAGGCTGAATAAACCCTGTCGCATCACGTTTTAACGTCTACGGAGATGAACAGCTCATCAGCAAGTAACATCTTTGTATTACTCATAGTTTGTTACTTCAGCAATAATGAATCGGGTATAAATCTAGTAAAACTTGCTTGTAGCGTTTATGTATAGAATTAATCTAGCGTACAAAATATATATTTATATATACATGGTGTCCCAGAAGTCGACGTCAAGCCGAAACCGGGTGATAAGCAAAGTCATAACAGCTATCAGAAAAACATTTAAAAAAATTTTATGTATGTGTTTTGAAAATTATAGCTATTTGAAAAAGATATAGAAATTTCACACCCTACGGCAGTCTGTCAACTCCTGTTACTACAAATATTAACTTTTTTTGGATTTTATTTTTACAATGTAATGATGAATAATGCATCTTCAAACTGGTGTCTCAACCTTACTGCCAACTTTTCTCGTTCAGGAAAAATTGCCACTTATTTCCCAACCAAGTATTCCAAAGTAAAACTTTGCTCAACTTTAACTGGCTGTACTGGAAAAAATGTACTACGAGAGTTTGGCAAGTAACCTTAAAAGTTGGCGCATTTAATAGCGATTCCAAAATGGTATAACACTTAGAAGATTACTCGTTAACTTATGCACAATTTTTATTTGAAAAAACTGATGAAAATTTTTCAAAATTTCCTAATTAAACAGCGATTATGAAAACGCACAAGGACCCTTAAGGATAACTGTTTGCACAACAGTGGGCGTCAAAATGCTGCTGATGATGATTTACCTTTACAGCAAATGCTCAAACTGTTTTCCTTCAGCCGCAATACACGCTCGACATCTTCTTAAAAAAGATCGGGTTATTAAACGAGCGAATCCACGGTTATTAACAAACTCAGCTGCTTCCAATAGTCTTTGCCGTAGCTCAGCTACATTTTGAATCGGCTTGAAATACACTTTTTCTTTTACAGTTCCCCAGTAAAAAAATCTAAAGGATTCAAATAAGGTGATCGGGCTGGCTACGGTATTGTACCAGACCGCCTTATCCATCTGCCTGGAAAGTTTTGATCGAGATACTCTCTCACTGAGAGTGCATAGTGCGCTGGGCAGCCATCATGCTGAAACCACATGTCCGTGTAAATACTCAGTGGCACGTCCACCAATAAATTTTGTACATGATTTTTCAAAAAATCCAAATAAACTTCAGCAGTCAAAGTCTCTGGGAACTCAAACGGACCGATTATTTTACCATTTAAAATTCCTGTCCAATGGTTTATCTTGAAGCGATATTGAGATTTATCTTCTCTCATCAAATGTGGGTTTGCTAAATGTGGTCTCATCCGACCATAAAATTCTTTCAAAGAACTGTGGATCTTTCCTGTGTCTTTCTAACATTGTGCGACAAAGAGCAACTCGGGGCTCATAATCCCGGGGCAGGAGAGGTTGAACACGCTGTATGTGGTATGGATGAAGCACATCACATTGGACAGGAATTTTAAATGGTAAAATAATCGGTCCGTTTAAGTTCCCAGAGACTTTGACTGATGAGGTTTATTTAGGTTTTTTGCAAAATCATGTAGAAAATTTATTTTAGGACGTGCCACTGAGTATTTACAGGGAGATGTGGTTTCAGCATGATGGCTGCCCAGCGCACTATGCACTCTCAGTGAGAGAGTATCTCGATCAAAACTTTCCAGGCAGATGGATAGGGCGGTCTGGTACAATACCGTGGCCAGCCCGGTCACCAGATTTGAATCCGTTAGATTTTTTTTACTGGAGAACTGTAAAAGAAAAAGTGTATTTCAAGCCGATTCAAAATGTAGCTGAGCTATGGCAAAGACTATTTCAAGCAGCTGAGTTTGTTAATAACCGTGGATTCGCTCGTTTAATAACCCGATCTTTTTTAAGATGTCGAGCATGTATTGCGATTGAAGGAAAACAGTTTGAGCATTTGCTGTAAAGGTAAATCATCATCAGCAGCATTTTGACGCCCACTGTTGTGCAAACAGTTATCCTTAAGGGTCCTTGTGCGTTTTCATAATCGCTGTTTAATTAGGAAATTTTGAGAAATTTTCATCAGTTTTTCTTCAAATAAAAATTGTGCATAAGTTAACGAGTAATCTTCCAAGTGTTATACCATTTAGGAATCCTTATTAAATGCGCCAACTTTTAAGGTTACTTGCCAAACTCTCGTAGTACATTTTTTTCCAGTACAGCCAGTTAAAGTTGAGCAAAGTTTTACTTTGGAATACTTGGTTGGGAAATAAGTGGCAATTTTTCCTGAACGAGAAAAGTTGGCAGTAAGGTTGAGACACCAGTTTAAAGATGCATTATTCATCATTACATTGTAAAAATAAAATCAAAAAAAATTTAATATTTGTAGTAACAGGAGTTGACAGACTGCCGTAGGGTGTGAAATTTCTATATTTTTTTCAAAGACCTATAATTTTCAAAACACGTACATAAAATTTTTTTAAATATTTTTCTGATAGCTGTTATGACTTTGCCTATCACCCGGTTTCGGCTTGACGTCGACTTCTGGGACACCCTGTATATATATATATGGCTAGATCCACATGGCGTTGATTTTGGCGTTAGAATTATGTCATTTGTCAATATGGGGAATTTTGAAATATTACTAGATAATCAGTTATTGTACCATAATGGATGCTCGTGAAAAAGACAATAGATTTGATTGACGACGCTGATTGGTCACATAAGCAATTTGAGGTTAGTAAAAATTCTTTCATACTAAACTAAATACTTGTAGGGCGCTAAAAGTTAAATAGCTATGGGATGACGTACAGGTTCTGAGATTAACGTCTGTTTTCATAAAATTATAAATCACAGTTTTCGCGACAAAAGTTATTTTCAAAACCTGTTTATTGTACCAAAGCTATTTAACTTTGAGAAGAGTCCTATGCGAAATGTGAGAGATGTATGCTTGCAATTCAAATTCTTCTAACTTCAAATTACTTATTTGACCTATCGGCATCGTCAATTTTGTATCCCCTTAAATTTTCCTGGAGAGGCCAGTTTAAACAAAAGAGAATTTTCTTAATTTTTTTATTTTTTAGCTAACACCAGCAACAACATCTTGGGCAAATGGAGTATCAGCTCTGAAGGATGCTCTCGAACTAGAAGCTCAGGTAACTAAGAAAATCAGAAAAGTTATTCAGAAATGTGAAGATAATGAGAAGTTCAATGATTACCATGTAAGTATTTTAGCTAGTAGGACAATACCGTAGCATAGTCAAAATAGGGATTAGAGAGGCAAAAAATGAATTGAAGGCCCTAGCAACACCTATATGACAGTAGCAGAATCAAATACTTTTTTCAAAGTAGACTTCTAAATTCATTCTGCTGTACTGTCTGACGGATGGCACTATCATCTTTCAGATTCCTTTTGCGCCAGAATACAGTAGGCTAACTTCTACTGTATCTTGGATATTATTTATACTGAATTACGAGCTTTTTTGACGTATGTGTAATTGCTCGTTTTTTCAGCTTGTTGATTATCTGACTGGAGAATTCTTGGAAGAGCAGTACAAGGGACAACGCGAAATCGCTGGAAGGATTTCGACTCTTGAGAAACTCATGGAGAAACATGGAGCTCTTGGAGAGTGGCTGTTCGACAAAAAATTGCAAGCCGCTGAGTAACGTGTATATTTTTTAAAAGTAGAAATAGGTCATTCCCAACAATCTTACAAGAATGTGTGATATATTTCCTATTTCATTTTATATTTTATGTAGATATATGTGTAAGACATTTGTGTAAATCATTATGTTTTTCTGTATTCAATAATAAAGATTGTTAGTATGAATTGTTGACATTTTTAGCTTTGGTAATGATGTTAATGATTACATGGCAATCGTAAATCTGGTCATGATTCCTAATTTCAAAAAAAACTATGAATCAAGTCTATTCAAAGGTGCTTGTGGGAATTGAGTGTGCAAAATGTGAGGACTGCACTTTCTGAACAGATATCAACTGAGAAGTCAAATAATGTGGATCTTGCTTTTTGGTGCATTATTTGAATCGCTATCGATTACAAAAGTTATTTTTCGCTCCGATAATTTGTTTCTGATTTCTTATTCATCATTCTGAGCAAGAAAGGTCCTTCTCTAAAATGGTCATCGTTAATAAATAAAAACTCGGTTAAAGCCCTTATTTTTGAGGTCGCCAAATATTTAAATTAACGACCAGCTGCAAAAATTCTTTGACACCTCAACAGAACGAGACCATCGATAAAGTTTACGATAGAAGAGGAAGTCGGCAACAGCCATCCATTCCTCCATGTCATGAGGACGGAGAACAACGTCCAAATAGAAACCTCAAGATTTGTTCCAACCTCGAGTCTTGCTATCGTACCAAAACCATCCAGTTATCATTTGGAACGCTTTTCTACGCATGCGCTGACTGGTTATGATTCTAGAATCGTGTTCTGGGCTGGAACGATTTTTGAATCGTTTTTGTAACTATAGGAAGTGACAGATAGCCCCTTCGTCACTACTCGTCGCAATGAAAGCTGGACAATATCGACAAAATTATCTTTAAATAGATAATATACAGGCTATATCAGTGCACGGTTACAACTTGGTTGGAGATTAATCATCCGACAACAGTTCTACTGCTCAGGTCATTTCCTTTGATTCTCATTTCAATGCAGGTAACAAAATCGTTCCAGAACAATCCCAACATTGCTTGCAACTGTCCCGCTACGACACCGAATATGCTGGAACAGTTTTTCCTAAATGCGCGTCGTCGTTATAGAACGGTTCTACGACGGATTGGAATAAAATATCAGTATACAGGAAACCACAGCTGTTAACTGAAGAAGACTGTGCAGGAAACCAACACACACAGGGCTATACATTATTATTCTAGCCATCCTGTGATCACGAAGAAAGGGGTGATTCGAATGCTCGTTAACAGAGCTAAGGACATTTGCAGCACACAGAAAAGTTTCGAAGAGGAGACCAAGGTTGAAGAAGATCTGACAAACAGCAGATACCCAAGAAGAATAGTAGAAGTTTTGCAAAAGGGTATCACAATCACGAGAAGCGCGCGGGATGAACAGCAGCACAATCTCATAATACTGTACGCGGAAAACATGTCCAGTACGATAAGAAGAATCGGCAGGGGTGTTATGTAAAACACCTAAAAAATGACAGTGTCGTCTTGCAGATTAGGTAGTTTTTAGTTTACAATTAGCTCATTCCACGTTTGCTCGCTATGATTGCTGTGAACGTCATTAAAAGTGTCCATCTATGGAGGAATGACTCAACGACACGACACGCTCAAGCAAGCATTGTTGCTTGCAGTCAGCCAAGTAGCATTTATCGATGAGATGTGAAAGAACAAAATAGGTTGGTTGAGTAGCAAGATCGCATCTGGATGATTATGTGTATGTATCTGTATAAAATCAGTGATATTTGCTATGCAAATTATTACTGAATACGCTGCCATCTATTAGCTGTGCCCGACGGGTTATTTAAATATTATTTATATAATTTATATAATTTGCCAATACTTTCGATTGAATCCCAAAAAAGATTCTTTGTTATCGAATAAAAAGTTTTCCCACAAAAATTGGTGTATCCATTTTATGCGTCCATGTTTTGAATACCCGCTTGAATAACTTGCAGCAATAAAACCAGAATTTCCAATTATTCCGTATTTTCGTCTAATATAATTAGACTAATAGTGCTTCTCGCAACACCAACCCCGAACAAAATCAAGCTTTACACACTTTTCAAATTACTATTGAGCAACAAACAGAACATAAATCACTTTTTAAGTGCAATTTGTATAGCTAATATATTGCTCAGACTTAGATTTGTCACAATACTCGTATATATACGTATCAATCGTAAGAATTGTGCTGTAAACGTAAGTGATGTCGAAGAGGGACAGCATTTTTTTGGAATACCTACCAAAGGATACCAACTTATCGCAAAGTTCAGTTCCTATAGCTATAACTTACAGTTATAAATCCGCCACTGCTGCAATCAAGTTATAACAAATCATATGCATAATTCTTGAATAACTAACTCAGAAAGCTTTGCAAAGCAAGAAAGTAAGCCTATCGGCTACAGTTTAGCAAGTCACTAGGATCTCCTTTTTTATATGGGGTGTTTCAAATTCGTCCCTCACCATTGGTATCTCGAAAACTGTAGGAGATACGAAGTCGCTTAAATGGGGGAAACTTGCGTAATTAACAAATTGCCGCATAGAAAGTTTCAAAATTCAAAGTATTTCCGGAGAGAGGTGGAAAAAAACGATTTTTCCCAAAATCATTTTAATTTCTTTCCTGACTATTTGTAGTGGGATTTTAAAATAAATTGCACATTAACATTGCCACTTTTTCTCCTCTACAAGTAGACATGACTAGGATTTCAATATGGTGTTTCGTCTCCTGTCCTCCAGCATTAACTCTATTTTTTCTTATGGACGCCATATTGGATTTCACCACTGATGAATGGCTGTTAATTCTGATTCCAAAAATTTATAAATACGTCATACATTAAGACTGATAAACTTTAGTTATTAAAAAAAGCAGAATTTCCTACATGGGTCTTGAAGTTATCAGATAGTCTTTTGTTTTGTATACCAGAGTTATCTCAAGATCATTTTGCTCCCATTTAAACGACTTCACATCTGTTACAGTTTCCGTGATCCCATTGTTGAGGGTCAATTTTGAAACACCATGTATAGGTGGAATTATGGCTAATTTGTTTTTCAGCGAAAATACCCTACTGTGACTGTTTTTTTTGTACTTGTGGGGATATTGATATTTTTGCAAGATAAAAAAAACAGAGTAGAACAAGTATATATATAATGCTTCATAAAAAAATAATTTCAATGAAAGATGACCCCTACTTGAAAGCAGAATTCAGATTAAGTATTAAAATTTTAAATTATACCAGTATAACCTACAATATGAAGTGAAAGTTCAAGCTTTCACAAAAGTTTTATAAATTATTATTTAAATGTATCACTTGATACAAAAAACAGTACAAAATAATACCCATACATACTAAGAGCACATAAAAAACCTATAGTAATACAATTTTTTATTAATATTATCAGCGACAAAAGTATTGTCCCCCACTTTCAATTTTCTGCTTCTTGCGAGCCTGCATAGTATCAAAGAATTCCCTTACATCCTCTTCCCGGATAATCCTTTTAGTACCAGCGAATCCTCTCAAAAACTCTGCAAGTTTCTCCTTCAAATCATTGTAACCTTCAATACAGTTGATCATAGCAACTCGATCAAAGTTTTTCAACTTGTCATCAAGCTGTTGATTGTGAGTTTCAGCAAGTTCTTTAGCCTTAGCCTTGCTTCTTTCTTCATACAGCTGTACTGGATCTTCAGGATCTAATAAGAAAGCAACATTTTCTGTTTCATATATCTTCAGGCACGTCTCACATTTACAGAGTTCTTTACGCCAGATCATTTCAGTCCAAAACTTGGCGCATACTGTTGATCCTTTCTCTTTAGGTTTCTTACAGTCACTGCTACAACTTGCTTCAACATTAACCACTTCTGAAGGTTTTTCTTGCTCTGTATCTTGTTCTGCCTCAGATTTATTCAAACAAAAAGCATCATAGTGAAGAAGAAACTCATGTTTTGTCACACATCCCTCACAAATCATCTCAGCAAAGTTATCAGAAGGTACAACAGTTCCCAGGTGCCTACTATGATACCAATCTTCGCAAATGATGCATTGAATCATCTCATCTGGTACTGGGTCATCAGGATCAGGATACGGCCTATGACAAACGCAATACACTCCTGAGAAATTCTGATTGTAGGTATTCAAGATGTTGGTATCCCTTTTGTCTGGGCAGAGGGTACACTTGTGATCTTCAGGGAACTTCTTGTTACCACAATCACAACAAAAGTTGCGCTTGGTATACAGCTCAACAAGATCATGGCCTTCATGACAATGGTAGCTACAAGCTAGGCACACCCCAGCGGCTTTCTCAGGGTCATCTTTAGCTTCAGGAATACATGTGAGGCAAGAGTACAAAGCTTGTCGTTTGATGTAATCATCTGTATACGAACAAGTTTTGTCACTGGCTGCACCTAAGACAGCAGCTGTGTCTTCCATCATTTCTTCTTCTAACTCCAAGACTTCATTGAGGGTCAACGTAACTGCATCTCCATCGCCTCCATCGTTGTCTTCGGCAGATCCGGGAACCTCGCTGGGTTCAGCCTCAACAGATGGTTCATCACCGGTATCAGGGGTTTGGTTGCTTGTTTCTTCAGACATCTTTGGATAACGTTTTTACTGTTTTGTATTTTCGCGAAAGTAGCAGCTGCAGCACGAATATAACGTTAATTTTGTATAGCAGGTAATCGATAACTTGAAAACGACACTAACCTCGAAAAATGGCGGGATCGAACCATCACAGAACACCTAAAATAGAACACGGACCATAAAAATTGAATAAACGTTTGATTTCCCCTTTTACCGCGACAGTGTTGCCAAGTCAGACACTCAACTTAAGAGTTAGATCTGTATAAAATGTATTATGGTTTATTACATTGGCAGAATACTAATAACTTTGCATAAGTTCTCGTTTCAGTTGAGCAGTGTCCAATAATCAAGTGCTGAAAGAAATCTTTGTCGAAGAAATGTATGTAGTTATCGATTACACCCTGTATATTGACCTACAAAATGGAGTTTTTTCTCTATATACTGTAGCATCCATGGCTCAGGATGTTATGTGCCCGACAGTTATGTCAACGATACAATAACCTCACTTTCTTTCAACATTTTTCTTAAAGCTAAAATAGAAGAAATACGGCCCCAATCTGCTGAATCAACTAGAAAAGTTAAATCGAAAAAGGAACTAAGCTGGTCATTACTCTACAAGAACCATATTAGCAACGTAATTTAATTAAGTTCTTCAAAAATGCTTTTTATTAGAACTTTAACAAGATCAATATGTACAGGAAATCGAAACTTTGCTGCAGAAAAATCTCTGCTTGCGGCATTGAGAAAAAAGACAGGTTATACCTTTGCTAACTGCAAAAAGGCGCTGGAGATGCATGACAATGATTTGAACCAAGCTGAATTATGGTTAAAAGCGCAAGCACAATCTTTGGGTTGGTCGAAAGCAACAAAATTGGAAGGTAGACATACCGCACAAGGTCTTATTGGTGTTGCAATAAACCAATCAAACGGTGTTATGGTGGAAGTTAACTGTGAAACAGATTTTGTGGCAAGAAACAAGGAATTCCAGAATATGGTTGAAGATGCTACAAAGTGCTGTCTCAGGTATGAACAAACTATTCATAGATTAAATCAAGTAAATATCTAAGACAACATTTTTCAGGTTCATTGAAACTCAGCAAAAGCCACAGGATGATGTGGCAAAATTCAACCTAAATACTGAGCAATTAAAGGCATTGCATTTTGAAAGTGATGGAAAGAGCTTGGCAGATAAGTTAGTGTTAATGATAGGGACAGTTGGTGAGAATGCAACCTTGAAACAAGGTGTAGGTCTTAAAACATCTGAAGGCATACATTTAGTAGGATATGCTCACCCTGCAGGTCATGTAGAAAATGGGCTACAACTTGGGAAGCTTGGAGGACTATTAGCATACAAGTTAGTATTATTTTAAAACAAAAACCTAACTACTAGAAAGTTTTGCTTAAGCATATCCTCATTTTTACTTTCCATACCACTGACTTTGACCTCAAATCAGTTTGAACTTGAGAGTCAAGGTCACCATTAACACGTTCACTGCGAACGACGCTGATCCGCGTCCGACCGATGTTTAACGAAAGGCGGCGGGCGCGGATCCGCGCTTCTGGCTGATATAAACTCACAAGACTGTGGTGTTCTGAAATTAATTAAAGAAACATCTTTAATAGGGTTTCAAGACATGTTTCGTGTTACTGCACGAAAAAACGAGATAGAAGAAGAAAATGTATATATGAAATAGTTTTCAATTACACAACGCACATCCAATAGGCTTACGACGCGAATCCGCGCTTCGCTTGTCAGGCGCCTAAAATCGTGTTAAACAAATCTTTTCAAACATTGCGAATAACTCCACAGATTTCTTCATTAATTGAGTCCTTGGCCAAATTTCAGAAAACAACAATTTCTCCCTCCATGAAGATCTTTGTGGATTTCATCAAGAAATTAGAACTTGTTCTAATTTTTGCCAAGGTGGACGTCAAATTCCATGCTGGCAACATGGTTTGCATTTACATTATTTATATATATATTTATACGCCTAAGGCATGGGGTGCTGTGGGGCTATAGGGCGATACAGCGGAAAAGGGAGGGATGCCACATGGATTCTAGCAAGGGAACATGTGTGCATACTGCATGCACACATTCGGACCCTGCGTACGAGATCCGCCGGGTGGTACTTCCGTGTACGACAGTCAGTCACGAACTACCACCTATGGACAATCACAACATCCATAGCCAAGGGAAAAATTTGTCTTGGGACATACAACTGCGACCACTGCTGCTGCCTGAACAACTTTTCAATTCAAGTGTAGGGAACTTTGAAAGAACTACTGTATCCAACAGTATGATTTCTGTTTATGAGATTTGCCTCAAAATCGAAACCACAATTGACATAAAAGCTCAAAATGTTTCTAGCAAGAATTTGTTGTGTGGTGGTTGTTAGCACTGTTAGCAATGAGTGTTGACAGATAATTCATAAATTTTGGTTATTTTTTTTTTTTTTTTTATACTCCAACTACCACGAAGTCCTAAGGCCTAAGCACCCATTGGGTACCGTGGGGCTTATAACTTTATTCTACAAATTTTTTTACGGTGAAGTATTTTTCCAGATATTTTGTTCCTTTTCTATCTTCAGGACACCTTCAAATACCAGTGATCAAGGTGATGGACAAAGAAATGATTTCACGTAAAATTTCACTTCACACTCTTTCCATTTCTAATGTCCTCCGGACCGCCTTGAGAAGCAATGATGAATAGTATTTCCAATGTCAAAAATAGGGGTTTCAAGAAAACTGTTTTGACCTTCATATGACCTTGAAGGCCATAGCCAACATTACATTCAAGATCAGCATTAGATGGGTCTTTTTAAATCCTACAACTTTGTTTTACAACATTTTTCTCTAGGAAACTTATTTTTCGAGACATTTTAATCTACCCTTACTTTTTGAATACCCTGACATTTTTGCGGATAAAATGACTTAACATTCCTCAGGTTTCAGTTCGTATTTTTACGTATCTCTTTATTGAGGTTCAGATGTGATTCTGACAGACTGGACCTGCATTCACACTTATATGCTAGGAAAGCCAAATTTGTCTGGTGACTTGAGTTCAATGTGTATGAGAAGTGTGTATGAACACATTGACGAGCAACACCGACACGGATGGTTGTGCAATCTGCCGCGTTGCCAAGATGTTACACCAGAGAATGTTCGCACAGGCTGATACAATAGATTAGGTTACTGTCCAAAAAGGAGGTCTGTTCAAACATTTAATTCAACAGTTTGTTTTCATTTTGATCAGAATTATTTATTTCAATTTTTAATTAATTTTAGAATTATCTTTGATTTCCACCGATGGTGATAAAATCAACACATCCTATGTTATTGTTACATTTTGCGACAGGAGCGGTCGAAAAGTGTAGCAAATACCATTATGCAATACAAAATATCACTGCGTGTTTGCAGGTGAAAACCATTTCAGAACAGTGCATTCTGTGATTACTTTTTGCAAAAACAAGATAATAACGAACTAATTAAACTAAATATTTAAAATTTCAATAAAGTAAAAAGTTCCAATAAAAAATGTTTCAATTTTCTCCATACAATGATTTTGTTACATGAAACCGTTATCCGCTTGTGTCTTCAAATTAAAAATGTGTACGCTCATAATAAAACCATTATTTGGGCATAGACAGAGTTGGCTTTCAGCGTATATGTTGGAGGCAGACGGCGAATTCGGCCCGTGGCCGATATAATAATAATAATAATCTATATTCCAAATTGTACAATGACATTACAAAAATTGTATAGCCACTTACAAAATGAAATGTTGCGTCACTGTCACCATTTTGGGGCCTCGGTTGGCCGCGTGGGTCAGAGTGTCGTGCTACTGATCAGCCGGCCGGCCGGGCCGCGAGTTCGAATCTCGCCTTCGCCATGGATGTTGTGTGTTTGTTTTAGGCAGCAGCGGTGGCCGCAGTAGTAGACTCTTCGGTCTCCTGATCAGCCGCCGTGCGCTGTGCGGGTTCGAGTCCCGTCCCAGGAGAAATGTTTCTCTTGGCCATGGATGTTGTGATTGTCCGTAGGTGGTAGATGGTCTCTGACTGTCGAACGCGGAGGTACCACCCGGCGGTTCTCGTAGGCGGAGCCAGAATGTGTGCATGTTGCATGCACACGTGTTCCCTCGCCAGAGTCCGTGTGGCGTCCCCCCTTTCCCATGTACCCATGTATCCCCCATAGCCCCACGGTACCCAATGGGTGCTTAGGCCTTAGGCCTTCGTGGTAGTTGGAGTATAAAAAAAAAAAATAACTATAGTAGTTTACCTGAGACCTTTTTTGCGTTACATGGTTATTTATCTTATAACAGCTACTATCTTATACTATTACAACTCCCATAGAACTCATCTATTGTAAATATAAGGCTCTGACTGTACTAGAAATTGCTTAATAGTCTTTTTAAATTTATGTAAACTGTTTATGTTTTTAATTTCATTTGGTAGATTGTTAAAAAATTTTAAACACATGTAAATAGGGCTTTTTTCTGTGGAGGATAATCTGTGTATTGGATAAGTACTTCTCCTCTCAATAAATAATAAAATAAAAGTTACGTTAACTCTACAATCCATATTTGTTTTTAATTTAAATTAATCGCCTTTTCCCATCCGACATCGGCTTAGGATGTACATATACAGCCATTTCGGGATGTGTCTAAATCATGTTATCTATTTGACGCATACATTATGGACATATTACGATATGTCCAATTATATCGGCCCGTGGCCGAATTCGCCGTCTGTCTTCAACATCTAGATATGCTGCAAGTCCATTTGTCCAGAATTACTTGTAAAGTGCATAGTTAATCTACTTGACGCCATTTTTTTCAGATGCCACGGACAAGACAGTGATCACACAGACGTAGCCAAAGGTATCTGTCAACACATTGTGGGTATGAAACCTACTAAAGTTGGCACTGCTGATGATAAACCAGCTCCTAATAAGGATGAAGAAACTTGTTTGATTCATCAAGAATATTTATTGGATGATAGTGTTACTGTGAAGGAATTGTTAGAGGAGCATCAGTTGGAAATTGTGGAATTCAGGAGGTTGGAATGTGGTGAGACTGTTAGCAGTGTGAGCAACCAGCCTTTAGAATTCGTCGAGACCTGTCAGTAATGACCGTTGTTATGTTGTATTTATTTTTATCATTAAAGATATAGGTACTGAAATTACAGAATTTAATTTTCCCTTAACTTATGGCATCAGTGATACGATTTACGAGCAGTGGCGACGCGTGACTTTTCCTAAACTGTTACCAAAACCAGATGAGAAAAATCTTATTAAAAAAGGTTTATTTTGACCGCCCCATGTAAAAAAAACTTTTTTTAAATTGCTGGACTGGGCGTCTGCGGCACTTGATATACCTTATTGTCTTATGCTATGACTAATCCAAGCCTTCCGAAAAACAGTAGACGTTTCTAGATGTTCGGATTTCTTTTATCTCTTTTGGCAATTAATGTTAACAAGTCCCAGTAATTTTCTCTATTGTTAGAGTCATCCCCTTCAAAATGACTCCAAAATGGTAACTCTTGTTTGGCCAAAAAACATACAGCATCTATAAGTGTGCTGCCTAAAATCTTGGTTAAGACAACTTTCGATTCTTGTTTTGCCAAACTGAATCAAATTGGCTACACATCTCACATGTAAAGGAGAAATTTCATGTCTCCTCTTCAGAACCCTAAAACTATTTAAATCGTTGCTGGTCCACCCATTTTTTTTGTAGAAAACAGAAGACATGGCCAACAATACAATCTGTTTTTCTTGCAACCACATAACCAAGAGTTTTCAGTATACCAACTAAATTTAAAATATCGAACTACTTTTTTTATTCATTTTTAAAATTATCTAAAATAAGTTGGTATTCCATTTTCAATGATCTCCTTTTTTTCTTCAAAATTATACAAGGAGAATGACTTTTCAAGTAGTTAATCGATTACGCAGCGACACTCATCCATCTTTAATTGCACGCAAACTACAGCCTACATAATAATCGCGGCGGCCCAAGCACTTTGGCGACCGCGATCAGACACGAGCTGGCACCGACTGTCCCCGACGGACTATCAAGTGTATCCATAAACGAAAATGGTAACAACATAGACTATTTGGTATACTGATGGCAATGGTACATAGGCCACTCACAGGTGGAACCCCGAACAAGCGTTTTTTGTCTTAGATCATTGATATACAATGTGTTTGGTCACGACATATTTTGTGCATTTCCTCACACCATTCAACAGCTAGTTTGTGAAGTTGTACTTTTTTGTGCTAATTCTACAGCTAACTATGTTATCTACAAAATGACACCAAATTTGTTATCCTACGTCTTCTACGTTAAGTAATAAATGCTATCTAACATGGGTCAAAGTATACATAAAAATGACAAATCAAAGTTTCTTATGTCACAAAAAATTCTATGGACGGACGAAGCAAAATTTACGAGGCAGGGGATCATAAACTATAGAAACGACCACTTGCAGTTCGACTGAGCACTTTCCAACAGGAATTTGATGTAAACATGTGGGCATGAATGATCGACGGAGTTTTAGTCGGCCCAGTTGATCTACCTCCAAGGTTAGACGGCCAGGGATTTTTGGACTTCTTGAGTACAGGAGTTTTCAGATCTACGCAACTTATCAACCGCCGCAACATATGGTTGGAGCTCCCACACGCTTTTGCGCTAGAACATTTGGATAGGCGACATTCTTGATGGATAGGACGTGGAGGCACTGTCGCTTGGCCGCCCCGATCACTCCATTTAACGCCCCTAGATTATTTTTTCTGGGACACAATGAAGCAAAAAGTCTACTGTCATGTGTCGACGACACGAGAAGAGCTCGTGGAAAGGATCCATACCGCTGCAAACGAAATTAGAGCTGACACGGATATGACCCGCTGCTCAACCCGAAACATTATTTTAAGAACTACGATGTGCATAACCAATAATGGAGGGCATTTTGAACCGCTTCTGTAACATTAAACATGTCCAAACTATTTATAAGAAACTTTGATTTGTCATTTTTATGTATACTTTGACCCATATTAGATAGCATTTATTACTTAACGTAGAAGAAATTTGGTGTCATTTTGTAGATAACATAGTTAGCTGTAGAATTAGTACAAAAAAGTACAACCTCACAAACTAGTTTTTGAATGGTGTGCGGAAATGCACAAAATAATCAATTTTCTTGCGTTTTTTTTTGTTTTTAAGTATATTTGACGGTTAGTATCAATACAAGTTTTTCAATAATCGCTAGAACAACATGTTTTCGTTCAAATGACACCATATTTATCATTCTGTTACTCTTATGTTCTCAGTTACTACAATTTTCATACATGCACTAGCGTAATCGTAACGTAAAAATAAAAATGGCTGCCATTTCAAGGGGGGTGGATTTGTCGATAAAAATAGCTGAAAAATACCCCCCTCAAATATCGGCATGTCGTGACCAAACACATTGTATACATAGAGGGAAAACCAAATTTGTCTGACGGCTTGAGTTTAATGTATACGAACAAGAATTGTGTGTTAGAAAGAGATAGAAGCCGGCTGAAGACCGAGGTTACACAAGAAAATGTTCGCACAGGCTTCTACAATAGGTTAGGTTCCTGCCAAACTCAAGAAGGTTGCAGAATTTTTTGCGACATTGACCTTTCATATCGGTAGAACCGATCCGGAATCGATCCTAAACAGATTCGACACAATTCATAAATGTGTACGCTCAAAATAAAACCATTATTTGGGCATAGAGAATAAACTAACGCATATTTTCAACATGCATCTTAATTCAAGGAATTGGTGTAACATATGGGCGGCAGATTGCCGCGTCAGCGTTGCTAGGCAACGCGGTGATATCTAGCCGGCTTCTATCTCTTTCTAACATATGTGTCTATACACACTTCTCTCTCGTACACATTGAACTCAAGCCGTCAGACAAATTTGGTTTTCAGTGTATATGATATTTTAAAGGTTAACACATACTCATTTGCAACCATCCTGGAAACTACTCTCTCCATTCTTGGTTATAAGATTCTGAAAATTTTTCTGTGACAAACCTGAAAACTTCATCAGGCATTTGTGTTTAATATTCAATTAAAAGCACACCATCTTAGGTTTTGTTATTGCTTGTCCGGCGGTGCAGTAATGATGGTGATCTACGAGTCTGTACCCGTTGAACGTACAAAAACTGATACAGGGAAAGTGGCTGAAGCGATGTGCGTTCATAACTATAGAAAACCCAAATCTACATACCTCGTGTGCGTGTACGCACATGTTTGATGATGATTATAATTCATTTTTTTAGCTTTATTTTTGGTTCTATTTTTTTTTTGGAAAAATCCGGAAAAATCTGAATGATTTTAAAAAATCGTGGAAAATGAGGACGTTTTTGGTATATGAAGGGTGCAGGGGAAAAACATGAATCTCACAAAAAGTACGTTTCGAGAAAGGTGAATTTAAAAGTTTGAAGACTCCTATCCCACCATCCTGGGTCACAGATCTGACGGAGTACCATATATTCCTTATTGTAAATAATTGAAAAATATTGTTTTCTATACAAGGTAGCCCAAAAGTGAAAGCAGACAAAACAGTTTTTAATGGAAAATCTTTTTAAATTTGTATTTTGAGATTTTCCTTATGATTTTAAACATTTTTCATGTATTAGGGTCCATACCGGAATTCAACTTTTTTTAGATATTGAGGTTAGAAATGAGCCTTTCATCGTATGTGACACCCTGTAAGATCTAGGGTTGATTAACCTGCAAAATGCCTATCTTAGATTTTACGATACATCTAATATGGATACAGGAAATTTACTACCCAGGGCCTATAAAATGAGAAAAGGGGGATTTTCTAACCTCAAGCTCAAACACAATTATTTTTAAGTATTTTTTTAAATTGGGACAGGAAAAAAACAACCAAAATATAGAACAAACAATGGTTGCTTAAAAATGATAATGTTTATTTCTTTCGTCGTGTATTTTAAGTTGTAGTAGCTACTAGTTTCGGTAACTATCAGTGGACGTTCATTTTTTTTCATACGACTGTGACATTTGACATTCATATTTTTTCCCTGCACGCCGGCAAGTTTTCAATTGGGTGTATAAGGGTAACAACGCACGAGCCGCGCACCGCGGCGGGTGGCGGATGAGCGGTACCGCGGGGAAGTGCGGATTGCTTTACGGAAACCGTCGCGGATGGCTGTTTGCTAGGGGGTAACAACGCACGAGCCGCGTACCGCGGCGGATGGCGGTCATGCGGATGCTAGTTTGTGTAGGAATAATTGGCAGACAACTCACTGGCAACCACGTAACCGCGCGGATGAGCGGAAACCGGCATCGGACGCGGCAAACACGGAGACCGCGCGGACTTTCATGATGACTAACCTAACAACCAGCCATCCGCGACGGTTTCCGTAAAGCAATAAGCACTACCCCGCGGTACCGCTCATCCGCCACCCGCCGCGGTGCGCGGCTCGTGCGTTGTTACCCTAACTACTACGAACGTACGAACTGTCATTAATCAAATCCAAGCGAATAACCAAAATTTGTGTTATGTGCCGCGGTTATAATATGGTTCAAGATGATACACGGGTTGATGACGTCAGTTACACGAATCGCTTGAACGCGTTGGTTTTAACCGCGGTTTTATTGCAAGTTGTTTATTTTAGAAAAGCGCGTATATAATCTCTGATTATTTTTATTATCACTTAATAATCGGTGCTTTTTCGTCTACAACTGTATATGGAAAGTTTAAATAAGAAACCTTTCATAATATTCATGGGAGAAATGTTTTTTTCAGATTTTTTTTAATGATGGAACCATGGCTTTGTAGCTATGATGACTTTCAATTCTCTAAATTTTTCCGCATGTCAAAGAAAACATTTATTGATTCAGCAGCAATGATGACAAAAGAAATTAGCAAAACCGTATACAGATGGATATCATCTAGTGAGTTTATATGGCCATATTTTAATATTCTTCTGGTATATGGCTACACAGGATACTTTGTTAAGCATAGGAACTATATTTAAAGTGTCCCCAACAATCGTAATGAGTATAACTAATAAGGTGCTCCACTTTATGGTAAAACTGAAGTCAGCCTGTATCAATTTTCTCAAAAATAAAGCTGAAGTACAATAACAATATCCAATACCCGGCAAAATTCTAACTTGTCACATTTCAAATAATAACCAGAAATATAAAACTACTCTTGAGTTGGGTAAATACCACAATCTTGCGGTGATAACTATGACATATAACAGCTGATTCGTGACGTCACGGATCTTATAACTAAACTGATAACTACACTTGCTTGAACGGATCGGTAAATACCAACCCAAAATTGTAAATACCATTTCCATTTGGTTATCCGCTTGAATTTGATTATTGTTTTTGTGAGTTATGCGGGTCCCACACGATGCTTCCAACGTTGCGTTGTATAGAAAATTGTTTACGTTCGACACCCCACAATTGGCAAATGTGTCTCGTAAAGTCCTAAACGATGGGAAGAACTTTTTAGTCTCGGACTTAAGTTTGGCCGTTTTTTGTTTGTTTTTCGACGATAACTCCGCCGCCACTGTACCGATTTTCAAAAACTGCATAGCTTTCCCGTCATTTTCATAGTAGAAACCTAGGATCAAAATTTCATCAAAATCGTGATAGTTCTTTCAGAGTTATCATTTATTTAATCGATTTCGTTAATTATGGAATGCAAGTCAATATATTTCTCAACTAGTTTTGCATTGCAACAGGACATTATAATGAAACAACTGTAAGCACGTGATAATTTATAATTTACTAAAATACATATCCTTAGGCCAGCCATAATTACCTGCGAAACGTACAAAATATTAACAATATTAAAAAAGTTGTTATGACAGCCTATGCTTTGTTTGTATTTTTTTTATACTCCAACTACTACGAAGGCCTAAGGCCTAAACACCCATTGGGTACCGTGGGGCTATAGGGGGATACATGGGAAAGTGGGAACGCCACACGGACTCTGGCGAGGGAACACGTGTGCATGCAACATGCACACATTCTGGCTCCGCCGGGTGGTACCTCCACGTTCGACAGTCAGAGAGCGTCTACAACCTACGGACAATCACAACATCCATAGCTAAGAGAAAAATTTCTCCTGGGACGGGACTCGAACCCGCACAGCGACTGATCAGGAGACCGAAGAGTCTACTACTGCGGCCACCGCATTCAATTCATTCTCCTCGAAAGTTAGTTGGAACATACATTATTATGAATAGGTAGGTAATCAAAATACTTCCCACATAACACTACTTCACTGCAATCACAGCAAACAAGTAAACAATGTTTTTCGCCGCTACTGGTTTAAACCTAAAACCATCAAACACGACATCTCGCGTGGGAGCGTAACGAACCATGCTTCCAACGTTGTAGTTTTTTGACGCGGGTCAAATTTACCGAACGTTGGACACAAGACACATGCAATCGTCAGCGCTCTCTCACGATGTGGCGAATGGCCATGTGTCCAACATTGTAAGGCATTCGCCACATCGTGTGGGACCGGTTTTACCGATGACTAACAAGGGTCAAGATTAAAAAAAATATATACAAAGGTAAGCCCATTTTTTTTATTAAATTTCATAAGTATTTTAACATAAAACTATTCAAAATCTTATCATTAATGCAGTAGTACAATGATAAATGATCAACAACTGAAAAAACATTAATATGAGGTGTTTGTATCGCGTTACAAAAGCTTAAATAAATAAAAAAGCCACGTTTTTGTGTATATATAAGCCAAAGTTCATAACTACAATTTTTCATAAATCTAATCTAACTCTGATATTTTCTTTACCACAGACTAAAGCTACAGGTATTCACTAAATTATACAATCTAAATAGACAAAAAATATTCTTATGATCAACTTATAAAATACTATTATAGTTTCACAAGGTATCTCCAATGGTTCCATTTTGCAGTCATATGGATTTGGCCACAAAACTAGGTTTTAGCACCCAAGTTAGATTAAGTGACTATAAACCAGACATAACTATCGATTCATTTTGACATTGCTATATGAATTTGTATGGCTGCCCTTAACAGAAAAATATGTAATGACATTTAAGTTTACAAAATTCTTCTACCTCAAATATTTTTTCTTATATCAATGGAGAGGTAGGGCAAGAACAATAAAATTCACAATTTTTCAAACAATAATGGAAAGAGACTCTGCTTATATATTTTTGTGGCCAGTCTGATTATAACAAAAACAATAAATCATGAAAATGCTAAAATATTCTTTAACCTTTAAGGTTAGTATTTTGGAAATTTTATGCTGCAGATGTTCTACATCCGCAAGACTTATAATCAAGTTTTGCGTTGTCTCATTGTCAAATAGATGCGTTTTCTAAAAAGCGGCCCAGTGAGGTTCTCTAGCATTTTTACGCGTAGATTGACCATCTGACTTCAGCGATTATGGAGACGAGACGACCACTTCTCCTATCGCCTATTGGAGTGTAAGAAAAATGTCACTCTTGAGACAACTATTATTAGACAAAGTATAAAAATAGTAAAATCCAAAACACTAGCCATTGCAAGGTAAAGATCTTAACACTAAAAATGGAGCCCTGATATAAACATCACTTCAACGTAAATCGCGTCACTTTTTTGGATCCCTACACTATGTAAAATTAAAAAATGTTTCCGATTATATACAAAGATTTTTCAAATTAATGTTAAGAAGGTACCTCAAAAATAACTAAGATTTTGTGGTCGGCAAGAAATGGAATCTTGAGACTTGTGGAGGTATTTCTAATGAAAGACTTATATGTTCTTAGAATTAAACATTATAAATTGCAGTGAATTTTGTCTTTTTTAACTTACCTTTATGCACATGAAGACCTTGAGTTTTTTTTTAATTTTTGATAGGTTGTGGGCCCAATCATTCATGTGCCTTTCAAAGGGCAGAAATTAATACCAAGAATAATAAAAAATGGAATGGAACATACATGTCTTACAGAGGGTACAGATTTGAAAATATCCCTATATTTTTATAGGTCTAGATCAATTTTGCTTTTGTATGCAAAAGGACATTAAATTTTTTAGATTTTTTTTCCTCTTCTATGTTGACATAGACATGAATCCAACTTTTGCCCAGTATAAGTTCAAAAAAGCTCATTTAGTTTTGAGGCACAAACAGCAATTTCATTACCTCCAATAATAAACTCTGAAGCTATAAAAATCCATTTTTATATTGCATTTATTGAAAAATCATAGAAACACACAACCTACTTACCTCACATACACATACATAACTAAATCACTTACGTACCTAATAAACTGGTTAAACTTAAATATTCAACATAAGTTATGAACGCTTTGCATCACTATCCACATTTAAATATCAGTACGTCAAAGATACAAAAATATATGAAAATGAATCAACTGACAAAAACAACTGTTGAGTTATGAGAAAATTTTTAGCGATGATAAAAATATATGTACAGAAAAAATAACAAATATAATTATGTATCAATTCCTAAGATACAAAATAAAAGGTAGTATATTTTATGTAGTTTTATATACAAAATGCCAGCAAGAAGGTTACGATTCTAAGGCATCTTGCACAGGCATATACGGAGTCAATACGTAGTATATAAACGATATCGTTAACGACTGTATAAGTGGCTAGTACACGGCAGCCATCTTGGCTGCGAGTCCCAGTTTTTGCTTACGATAAATCTGCAAAAAAAAACCTGTAAGATCACAGCGATCATTGAAAAAAAAACGTAAAATGAACAAACTTCTAGTAGAGAAGCAATGTTTTAAAATAATAAAGTATTATACTCAAAACTCATACAGCACATTTTTTGACAAAAAGAGATTACTAATTGATTAATAAGGACTAGAAAAAATCTATACAAAGGGTACTCTAAAAGTTTTGCAGTATGACTTAACAAACGGACGCAGGAGGCTGCATGTTGAGACATGTCCATGAGTGCATAGTAGCCGCCAGCAGCACGTCTGTTGATTTAGTTGTTCATTCGTATTGATAGTGTATGGCATCATGGTCACGTAGCGCGATAAGCGCAGTTTTACGGTATAACTTTACGCGTGGTTTAAGCATAGACCAGGGCTTAGAAAAAATGACGCTTGTCCTCATCGTACGACGATATTCAGGTGGTACAGATAATTCCAAAGCAGCAATTACACTCTCGAGGATGCTGAGAGGGAAGGAAGGCCGCGACGTCAGTAACAGAGGAAAACATTACTGCTGTGAGGAAAATGCTTGATGAAGACTGGACATACCAACAGATAGACGAGACTTTACACCTTCATGCACCAGCAATTCATCCAATTCTGTATGACCATTTACAGGTAAGGAAACTTTGTTCTCTCCGAGTACCGTATAGTCTGACGGAATATCTGTATTTTTCTCATTGAGGTGGATTGTGGAGCGTGTCGTTTTAGACACACAGAAAACAGTCACAGCTAAGTGATACACGGAACAGTGCCTGCCTAAAGTCATACAACCTGCGGCCAAAGTCAAGAATGGACACTGGGTGGTATTGAATGTGGTGGAAATTACTTTGAATGAAGTCAATAAATGAAGCTGTATTGCAAAACTTTTATAGTACCCTTTATAGCTCTCGTCTTAGTTTTATTAGGAGTTAGCCTATCATCATTAAAAGCCAGATTTTAACCTTGACCATCTAAATTCTTAATGGTAGGACAATTGAATTAGATAGTTACCACACCTATAATCATATAGGTTATTTAAGAAATAAGCTCAATAAGGTATGTTTTCTAAAGAATTATTGCTAAGTATTTGTATAGAAAAACTTTGAATGTTGTGTATCACTCAAATTTTAAATCTAGATTAAGGCATAGAAGATTGTTATTCGGAAACTGTAGTGACTTTGATGGAATTTTTGTAATGATAGAGAACATTGAGAAATGTTTTCAGTTTGAAGAAGCAAATACAAGCAATTCAGTACTTTAACAGTTTTTGCAGTGCTGATTCAAGAGTGCCTCATATATCTATTTAAAAGTGGGTGATTGTCCACAGTTAATGAGCCTACAAGTATCCATACTGGTGTTCTTAACTATATTTATTTTGAGCATAGATTTGCATTCTTTGAAGAGGGACCTCTTGACAATTGTCTAAAAAACTAACTGCATTTAAAACAATATTATACAAAGTATTACTAAATCTAGAAGCATATACAATTAACGACTTTTTCAACACAAATTTGAATAACATGCAATATTGCAAGATTTTATCATCACTTTTGTTTGGTTGACTCTATCTGTAGCTCAAATGGTTTACAGCTTTTCTGTAAAGCATTTATATGTATTTGCAAATAAAGATTACTGTTATCGCTACTGTAAATGGAAGTTTAGTAGGATGTTCTCGAATGTTAAATTTCCAATGTCACATGTGAGACAACCAAAATGTCATTTGAAACACATAGACCACCTTCTTGAATCCCACAATGGACATTTTTCATCTGACAAAATCTTGTTAAGCTAAAGCCATGAGACAAAGAATGAAGCATTGAGATTCTTTCACCATTCATCAAAATGGCAGATGATAAAGTAGGAGTACGATACGTGACGGAAAGCATAATTACTTTTTTTTGGCCTCAACCTACCATCAAATATCTTAAACCAAAATGACAGCACAGCGACAAATGTTGATAAAAATAAAATTCCTGTGTTGCATGCAAGATTCAAGAACACCCCCTTTTTTTTTTTAAATATAGTCAGTATACTTACAACTAGGTGCCGGTGCTGTGTTGTTGATATTTCTATGGATTTGATCATAAGTGAATTTCACAAAGGCATCATATTGTTCTGCAAGCTTGGTTGTTAAAACATGATCATATTCTTCTCTTATTTCTATCTCACGTTCTCTAAGCATCCTTTCACAGATCATGCCAACCTAAAATTAAGAAAAAAAAATTAGCTTTCGATCAAATACTTTCTCATAGAGATGATACATCAATGGTAGTAGGGATCTATTTACCCAGTTGATAGAAGGTATCTTTACCTGTTTAAATGTAAAAAGAGGCTTTTCAGAGCGGCTAGGTGATTCACATTCTCCACCTGAGCTGTTACCGTCTGATGTTTCCATACTGTTGTACTGTAGCTGCTTGCGTCTTTGTAATCTTTTGATTTCTGCTTTAAGGTTATCAATCAAGTTTTCTAAAAGTATTTTTTATATTAATAAAGTAATGCTTAGCACATATTTGTATAAGAGTATCAAATATGAGAACTGTTTGCTAGTTTGTCATTTCTACAGTATTTTTCACGAGTATCCATCACAGTAGAACAACAGCTGATTATCTAGTAATATTATAAAACTCCCCATATCAACAAGCGACAAATAATGCTGAGAGATCTGTCAACGCCAGGTAGTCAGATCCATATTTTGTTGTGGTTTTTTGTAGGCTACACAATCGTTTTGTACTTGCTAACAATTCTTTTATTCAGAAAGGATCCCTTGCATATAAAAAAATGCTACAAGCCAACTGGATACTAATGATCATGACTAGATTTGAAGTGAGGTAGGAATAAAATAAGATAAACAGGTTTTGACTATGTGAAAAATCATATGATTTTAAAGAGCTATGAAACAGTCATACAATTCAGAATATGTGGCAGTATATTACAGAATTGATAGAGGTTTGATTCCCTGAGTTAGGTCTGAACATTACTCAGGTAATTCTAGCAAGTTAGAAATTAGAAAAATGTACAACTATATTATTAATTTTTAAAATAGGTTCTGCACAAACTTAACCTGTATTTGAAATATGTCACTCAGAATGGACAATAAACCAGGAACTCATATTTTTTTACAGGTAAAATTACAGCTTCTGGAAGGGACAATGCAGCCTGTTCTATTGACTTCAATAATCAATAAATCCCAGATGTACTATAATAATTTTCTAATAAACATTATTATATCTGTACTTTGTATATTTTATTCACATTTTCATCACTTAAAAGATATGTGAACAACAGCTCTGAATACGGTTCTGATATTCATTGTTGCCAATGTTACAAACTAGTACAAAGATGTGGCTTTTGTGATCTCAGTAGACATCAAAATATAAGGGATACTTGTGAAAAATACCTTAGTAATTCCCAAGGACATACAACAAAATATTTGTTTGCTGCCATTTTCCCAAAATGGTGTCTTTTGCAGCAAAAATATGAGATGATAAAGTGAAGAGTCAAAATTAGCTATGAAATATTGTTCCCTAAAAACTCTAACAGGAAATACCGTCAAATAACTTGTTGGTCACTATCTTTTCAAAATGTTGTCACTGGCAGAAGAAATGGAAATTTGAGAATATGCAATGAATTTGATGAAAACACTGTTAATCAGGATATAGATTCTGTTAGGCGCCATTTTTCCAATAGTGCATAGGAGATGCAAAAAATACTGATTCGATTCTAAAAACGAAAAAAAAAAATTATCTTTTTGACACTGAAGAGATAAAATGTAACCAAAAAACAATGCTGTTATTCTACCAATATAGTTTTTTGATAAGTTTCCCAATTTACTTTTTTGTAAAAACCACATTTACTAGCTTAATTTATCATATGAAGATTTTTGGGTACCATTGTTACAAAAGTGCCTCATTAATGGCAAAAATATGATGTGACAATGTGGAAATTTGAAAAAAACTAAAAAACAAAAATTGATGGATTATATAGATACCATATATCTTTGTTGAAGTTATGGCTATAAAATGTCTAAATAATTCATAAATCATAAAATGAATACTGGTATACTACAAATATGTATATCATTATTGTCTATAAAATCCACTTTTTAAAAATTATATTTGCTGATTTTGTTTCAACCCTTTCATGTGAGCCAAATATCTAAAATGTCCCAGCTAGCAGTAAAAATACAAGATATTGCAGTTAATAACCCAAAATGATCGTGCTATTAATATTATGAAGTTATTGTTCATAATAAAGGATATAAAATTTACAAAGAATAAAAAAAATTGTACGATTTTTATAAAAAAAATTAAAATATAATACAGACAGAATATAATTTATTATCATGCAGTACTATTGACTGTAAATTAAAAATCAACGAATCATCTTTTTCAACAATAATCAGCAAGTAATTGCCTAAATAATCAAAATAATTCATAAAATATGCAAAAATTCATTCACATAAACATCAACATGTCAAATCAGCTGATGACAAATGACTTGTCAACAAATACCTTTTCAATGAAAAAAATCCAGATTATGAAGGGATAACATCAATTTAACTGCTAAAACTGGGTCAGACAATAAGTTTTTCGATATAAAATGGTTATTAGTGGCATAAAAGAGAGGCAACACCTACCTGGGGTGAGTTTCGTGGTGATGTCAGGAAAAACGGAGGACTTAGGCGAAGTAGAGCCAGTAGGACTTTGAGAAGGCCCCGGAGATCCGTGTTCCTTTTGCGTAGGGCTTGAACAAAGGGGCACACATCGTCTTCTTTTCGCAGGGCGCCCGCCCAGGACGTTGTCCCAATCTAACGACCGTTTCAGAGTGGCACACGCCATTTTTAGTTTGGTCGCTAACAGATCAAAACAAAAAAATCAGTTTCACTTGTTTCCGTTACTAGCACGAAAATACGATAGTATTTCGATGGATTGGACTTGGTTACGTAGGAAAACGCAGTATCTGAGTTGGAAATATCACTAATCTACGGATGTTCGCCGATCAGAAAAATTCTAAAGTACCAATATGGCGATGAGAAATACGAGAAGTGACATTTTGAAATGGTTCCTTTGAAGGAGGAACGAAATTTCTGGTTGGGCAACTGCGCATTGCGCAGATCGTCTGCGCATGATCAGGAGCGTGTTGGTTACCATGTTGCCAAGTCTTGCATAATCTCTCTATCTTTGAGAAGATTCGTCAAGACGTGATGTATGGTTGGTAGGAAAATTGTCAGGCCAGCGCAAGTACTTTACTGAAACCATTGATTATCGTATTATACTGCTACTACTATCGCCGTCTATGAGGCAGTAACAGAACGTAACAAAAATGAATTTATAAATCTACTTTGAAAAAGAGATTGAGTGGTTGACGCAAGAATACAAAAATACGGTATACGGCGTCTGTAAATTAACTGTTATGACTGATTTTTTTAATTTTTTCATTCATATACAATTAGAATTTCAAATTGTCAGCCTCAAAGTAACTTTCTTCTGAAGTCACACAGCGCTGGAGACGGTTGTTCCACTCCTCCATAGCAGTGCTGGAACTCCGATTCAGGAATAGCATTCAGCTGGTCGGTTGCAGCCATTTGAATATTTTCGACTGTCCCAAATTGAGTTCCTTTGAGGTGAGTTTTCAACTTCGGGAAGCGAAAAAGCCACAAGGACTCAAGTCAGGCGTATAAGGACGCTGAGGAGCCACAGGAATGTTTTTATTGACCAAAAACTCGTTTATTGACATTGCTTGGTCTAAAATGACCGGTGGTGTGAGTCAAATTTAACTCTTCCCCGTCCATTCTGACTATCAACTGACAATCTGAACGCACAAGATCCCGGATTCTATTGATATTTTCACCGGTTCTTGAAGATGAAGGCCTTCCGCTTTGTGGTTCATCTTCAATCGACTCTCTTCCTTTCGAAAATGCCTTAAACCACCGAACAACCTGGTCGCTTGACAAAACACTATCACCGTAGGCCTGCTGAGGTTTATCAAGAGTTTCCGTTGCACTGTGTCCAAGTCTGAAACAAAACCTGACAGCACACCCTGGCTCAAAATTAATGTCATTCATCTTCAGAACACAACAGGAAAAGCTATTTCACAAAAAAAGTAGCTACGGACAACCAAATGACTCGAGTGAGTTCAATCTTGTACTGAAGGCGGATCTCATGTTCCCTTGTCTCCCCTCCAGGCTCAGTGCCTCCAGTGTTGCCAGATTGAATGCTAGGTTGCCAGTCTCATCATTCAATTTACAGACAGTGTTGGTGTGAGTCCTGCATGACGTACTCTGTATGCGATCTGCAGCGTGTGCCGCATCATGTTTTCACATTTTGCTGAGAGGCGACGCGACGTCGTCAGATGGACGGTACCACGGGTCTGGAAGAGAAAGGCTCCATAGAATAATTGTACGGACCTGTTTGACCGACTTGATCCCTTTAATTTCTCTGTTATACACGTTCATTACTAACTTTTTTCTCATAGGGTCTAATTTAAACTGCTGCTTTCGTCCGTCCGACCAAGGACAGCCAACCATGGCCAGGTGTTTCGTGCTATTTTCGCTGCTTGACCTCTGGGACAAGAAACTAAAGCTATCCTTTATCCAGCAGGGGTATTATGTAAAAAACCTAAAAAAAGTAAAAAAAAGCCAAGAAAATGTCATCTTGCAGACGGTAGTTTTTAGGGCGCAAACAGTCATTCCACGTTTGCTCACTAGGATCGTTGTGAACGTCCATCTATGGAGAAATCACTCAACTAAACTACGCATTATTGGTTGCATAGTTTTGTGAGGCTGAGTGATCCGGGTCTGTAGTTTTTATCTCTGAGAAAAAAGTTGGTTGAATAGCAAGATCGCATCTGGATGATTATGTGTATTGGTCTGCATGTGTATAAAATCAGTGATATTTGCTGTGTGAGAAAATCATTACTGAATATGCCGAATATGACGGATTATTTATATGTTGTGCTTTCTGAAGAGAGGTTATGTTCAAAGTTATAAATTACGAAAAACTGAGGAGAATTACGGGAAATCATCACGGCGTCCGCGTTGTGTGTAATTACTGTTAGCATGTACGAGTGTATGGCTTGTAATTCGACAGTGTACAGTGAATATAGTTATTTATCTCTCTCATTTTTGAATTTCAGCAAATTAGTATATGTAATTTCCAGAATGGATAAGAAAAAGTTGATGCGCAACTAATTTCTAGCTTTGAATCTCAATTAAGTGTATTTGAGATAAGAACCCAATGTAATTATGATCAACACATACAACTTACCTACAGCTTAGACATCCAGTAATGCCATCTCAGAAGCAGATTTGACATCACATCAGAGCCAAAGATTGATAACAAGCCTCATGACGTTTAGGCAACATGTACAACTAACTGCTAAGGTAACATCTTGTAGAATAACCTACATAATGTCAAAAAACAGCATATTGTAACAAAAAATCGGCATAATGTCACTTTTCAAGATACGTACCCGTGCGGGAGTAAACAAAAGTACGACCCACCGAATCTGGCGAAAGAGCGAGCTCCTCTCGTACCACGTACAGAGTACAATCTATACAACCCTGGGATTATATTTTAAGAGTTGAGTTTTGTCAAACAATGTTGCAGAGACACCGGCACGGGTATTACGTATTTTGAAAAGTGACATTATGTCAATTTTTTTGACATTGTACTAGTTTTTTGTGACATTGTGTATAATCAAATTCAAGCGGATAACCAAATGGAAATGGTATTTACCATTTTGGGTTGGTATTTACCAATCCGTTCAAGCGAGTGTAGTTATCAGTTTGGTTATAAGATCCGTGACGTCACGAATCAGCTGTTATATGTCATAGTTATCACCGCAAAATTGTGGTATTTACCCTACTCAAGAGTAGTTTTATATTTCTGGTTATTATTTGAAATGTGACAAGTTAGAATTTTGCCGGGTATTGGATATTGTTATTGTACTTCAGCTTCCTTTTTGAGAAAATTGATACAGGCTGACTTCAGTTTTACCATAAAGTGGAGCACCTTATTAGTTATACTCATTACGGTTGTTGGGGACACATTAAATGTAGTTCCTATGCTTAACAAAGTATCCTGTGTAGCCATATACCACAAGAATATTAAAATATGGCCATATAAACTCACTAGATGATATCCACCTGTATACGGTTTTGCTAATTTCTTTTTTCATCATTTCTGCTGAATCAATAAATGTTTTCTTTGACAGGCGGAAAAATTTAGAGAATTGAAAGTTATCATAGCTACAAAGCCATGGTTCCATCATTAAAAAAAAATCTGAAAAACATTTCTCCCATGAATATTGTGAAAGGTTTCTTATTTAAACTTTTCATATACAGTTGTAGACGAAAAAGCACCGATTATTAAGTGATAATAAAAATAATCAGAGATTATATACGCACTTTTCTAAAATAAACAACTTGCATCAAAACCGCGGTTAAAACCAACGCGTTCAAGCGATTCGTGTAATTGACGTCATCAACCCGTGTGTCATCTTGAACCATATTATAACCGCGGCACATAACACAGAAATTTTGGTTATTCGTTTGGATTTGATTTATGTTTTTCTACAAGATGTTCACTTAACACTAGTTGATGGACACGATGTTTTGTAGTTGTACGTGTTGCCTAAACGTGATGAGGCTTCAGTTATCAATGTTTGGCTCTGATGTGATGTAAAATCTGCTTCAGAGATGGCATTACTGGAGGTTTGAGCTGTAGGTTAGGTTAGGTTTCTTGTGAGTGCGTCAATAACGATCCTCCACTGCGACTCGTTGGGTCTTTGGTCTATTGTGGCTTGGTCTAAGCTGTAAGTTGTATACTATAGCTAGAACGGCAATGCATACGTGCATAGTGAGGATTTGTGTGCTAATAATATGTGTTGATGATAATTTCATTGGATTCTTGTCTTAAATACACTTATGTGAGATTCAAAGCTAGAAAATTAGTTGAGCATGCACTTTTTCTCATCCAGTCTGGAAATTACATATGCAAATTTGATGAATTTCAAAAATGAGAGAGATAAGAAATAATTATATTCACTGTAGACTGTCGAATTGCAAGTCATATACATGCTAACAGTAATAACACACACAACGCGGGCGCGGTGGTGATTTCCCGTAATTCTCCTCAAAGTTTTTAAAAACAAAAAAAAAAAACGTAAAAATCGTAATTTATAACTTTGAACATAACCCGTCTTCAGAAAGGACAACATATAAATAACCCGTCGGGCACAGCTAATAGATATACTTCATTGGCAGCATTTTCAGTAATGATTTTCTCACACAGCAAATATCATTGATTTTCTACACATGCAGGCCAATACACATCATCATCCAGATGCGATCTTGCTATTCAACCAACTTTCTTCTCATAGAGGAAAACTACGGGCTACTCGGCTTCACAAAAAATATGCAACCTACCATGCGTGTAGTTGAGTCATTCCCCTTAGATGGACGCTTACAACGATCCTAGTGAGCAAACGTGGAATGACTGTTTGCACCCTAAAAACTACTTAGTCTGCAAGATGACATTTTATAGGTTTTTTTGACGTTTTATAGGATTTTTACATAATACCCGTGCCGGGAGATACGCGATTTTTAGAGAGAATTTTAAGAACCAATGAGTCGACATTTAAAAAAGATGGTTACATGAATCTACACAACTTACACGAGTGGCACGTTGAAAATAAGCATTTGATGAGATAAGATAGATCACAGTATCGTATTAATTAAAGATGTAGGCCGAGATTCTTAATTGGAGAATCATTGTACCCTTTGAGCAGGCAGAGTTACTGAATGGTGAAATTTATTTAGACTTTTTCCAAATTATTTACCAAATTTATTAGAAGACGCGCCACTAAGCTGCCCGGCGAATTATGCCCGATCAGTTGGAGAATATCTTGTTGCGGAATACCCGAGCAGATAGATAGGGCGGTCTGGTACAATTTCATGACCAGCCCGTTCACCTGATTTAAATCCTCTCGGTTTCTTTTACTATGGAACGGTGACAGTTTACTCAATGTCAATCGAAAATTTAGCTGAGCTACGGGACAGCGTAACGGAAGCAGCTGAATCTGTTAATAACGGAAG